TGGGCTCAGAGGGTCAGTGAGAAGGAAGACCCTCAAAGAGACAGCCGGACACAGTGGCTGCAATGATGGGCTCATGCATGGCGAGCACTGTGAGGCTGGCGGAGGACCAGGCGGGGTTTCAGTATGTCGTACACGGGGTCACTGTGAGATGGCGCCGACTCAGTGGTACCTAACAGTAGCGTGTATCAAACTATGGAAGGTCCCAGAAACACAACGTAGACGGAAGAAGGCAAGCCGCCCGGCACCAACAAGAGGATGCCGTCAACACCTCGTGCAACAGCGCCGACACACGAACGCAGTAAAACAGGAGGAACTCTGGTGGCAAAACGGAAAACGTCATTCTCGCGGCTGCCCTCAGAGCGCAGTGCTAGGCAGGGACAAAAGCAGACCTCAATGCTGCCTGCACAGCTGTATTTCTTTTCTTTAAAAAACAAGTCTAATCAGAAGGTGCACAGAAGATCGACAAGTTAAACGGAAAACCAACACGCATCGCCATCTTCCCAGACACTGAGTCCCAGAGCTCACCGGCTTCCCCGGACGGTCGGACGGGGGATGCACTGCCCCGACCATGAGACGCTCAGTAACGGGGCTTTCTCAAGGCAGCGAAAGCTCAGTAGATAAGTGTGATAGTTGGAGCTGGGTGTCAACTTGGCTGGACCACAGTTCTGTGTGGTTTAAGCTGTTGTGATGTGGTTATTCCCATGATGGGATCAGATGATTATGTTTTGAGCTGGCAATCTGTCGAAATGGAGTTTCCCTAGGGGTGTGGCCTGCTTCAATGCATTTATGGACATCCTGGGAGAGGAGACACTCTTCTGTGGATCAGGATTCTGTTGTGCTGCCTACAACTGTCCGTGAGTGAACAATCCACCATTCGGCCTGGAAATCTTGGATTCATCATTCGTTGGAGTCAACAGCCGGTGTACTGCCTGCCAGCCTTGAGCTCCTCAGCCCCTGTGGCTGCAAGAGTCGGGAAAAGCCTCCAGCTTGACATGTGATCCAGGAACTTGGGACTTGCCAGCTTCTAAAGTGTGTGAGCCATTTTCCTAAGATAAATTTCTATATATACACATATACATAAGCTTTACTGGTTTGTTTCTCTGGAGAACCCAGTCTAACACAATAAGGGTCTTTCTTCCCCTTCATCTTCCCGAGTCAGAAGGTTTCCCAGGTGGAAGTGAGCTCCTCCGAGGAGACTGAGGCACAGCCCCAGTGCACTCTGCACACAGACACAGCTGTGGAACAGATGCAGCCGGAAGCTTTAGAAGGCCCCATGTCAACACCCAGAGGGACAGGCTTGGTTTTCAACTGGGTTTCAGGGACCCCAGGACTACCCCACACGCACATGGAAAGGACTGCAACATATTAAAATCCTACAGCACTGAACAGACTCAGAGAGCGGACAGCAGCCCCGCAGCCCTGCCTCGGGGACACTGCTGCACACGACTAGCACTAAAGGCCCCCAGTGCTGCCAAGGGACTCGCCCTGCACTCCCAAACACACTGGCAGCTCCAGCGCCCAGGCTACTTCAGGACGAAACAGGACACTTCAATCATCAACAATAAACCAAACCAAACCCACTGCCATCGAGTTGATTCTGACTCAGAGCAGCTGCACAGGCTGAACTGGCCACAGGGTTCCACAGCTGTGTGCTACCTCACAAAGTCGGCTGCCACGTCTCTCCCCTCACAAAAGCCACTGCCACCTGTTTCTCCCACAGAGCAAGCAGGTCACGGGTCTGAACTGCCGACCTTTCAGTTAGCAGCCAGGCGCTTACCCGCTGTGTCACTAGGACTCTATCTATGATAAATAGCCCTGAGTTCACCTGGGAAACTACACACCCCTATAGTCACTCATTCGAATTCTTGGCTGATCAAGCTAACGATCCAACAACTTCAAAGACAAGGATGTGTTTTCACTTTTAAGTCAACTGTGGTCAGAAGCCCTGGGAGGCCACACACAGGCAGTGCCACAGTTAAAAGCCCACCCACCTGGCAGGCTCCCTGGCCTCCTATTTTACAATCAGCCCTGGTGGGGCGGGACAGGGAGGTGGGGACGGGGCTAGGGAGAGAGCAGCGGGAGGGAGGGGAACCTGGGGTCACAGCAGAAAAAGCCTTCAGTCCTTGACTATCACACCCCAGCTAGGCTGCGCTCCACCCCGTGACAGGGATGGCTGTGGGTGCAGAGAAGCGAGCCCACCCACCAAGAGCCTCCATTTCCTCTCCTCCCAAAGGCCAGGGAGGGGAGGGATGGCATTTGCATATGTGAACTAGCACCGTGGACCCATGCAGCTGGGACAACAGGCGTTTGCTTTTTCCAAACTAATGGCTCAGGGACCCTCCCTGTACCTTCTCTCCGGGTCTGGGGGACCACTGCGGCCTCTCGTAATCTTTCTTGGTCTCCAGAATTTTCGTTACAAGTCCACCTGTCAAACATCAGTGGTTTCATGTTAGTCTATTCTCTGCCAGAGGGAGCTATGTGATATGGATGGGGAGGGGGTACCAACGTCTTAGACTGTGACACAAGACCACTCAATGTCCGTGAACAAGAATCGTTGGTGGTATCAGAAGCTGCTGAGGGGTTCCTGCCAGTGCACCCCCAGATGGTACACAGGAGAACTGCCCCGGAGGGTTTCCTAGGCTCTGGGGGCATAGTGCCTAAGGCACCTGACTGCTAACCAGAAGGCTGGAGGTTCAAACCCACCAGCCACTCCTCGGAAGGAAGGTTGAGCAATCTGTTGAGCAATCTACTTCCATAGTAATACTGCCTCGGAAACCCAAGGAGGGGTCGCTATGAGTCGGGGCCAACTGGATGGCACACAACAACAGCAGCAGCAGAGGGTGGTCAGTAATCGTATCGCTGCTTGCAGCACTGGCTGCTGGGCTCAGACTTCCGTGTGCACATCGCAGGGTAAAGCAGACGGGAAGCTCATGCTGCTGGAAGCCAGGACTTCCAGCACGAGCTCAGAGTGACCGGGAAACCCTGCCACCCTGGGTGTGAACTAGAAATACCAGAATGACCTGAGGATGTATTTCCTTATGAAAAATGCACATCCCCACTCTGCCCAGTGGAAACACTGGAAACGGCAGCCAACCCAGACGCATGAGCGCTCGGCTCCATAGAGACAAGGTGGACTGCAGACACAGAGCGGGGAGTGCCCAAAACGGGCCCGAGACATCCTGTCACGTCAGTCTCCAGAGCCTGGGCTGAAAGGGCCCCCAGGAGGGACCTGGGACACAGCAACCAGTGCAGAGGGAGGCAGGCAGCACAGGCAGCCCCTCACGGCTCTCCTGAGCCCCGAGCCAGCGACCTCAGACCAGCATGTGGTCTGAGCTCCGCCTGGAACCTTGGCAAGCTACGGCTCCCGTGGTTCAGGCAAACACGACACCACTGCTGTACTACGGCACAGTGCAAGGCAGCAGCCTTCCCAGCTAGGAGGGCTGTCTCCGCAGGGTGGGCTCTGCCTGCAGACTGAGAGTGGGTATGTCGGCAGGACTCTTCTGTCTCGACCCGGATGGATATTGGGATCCAAGCCTGCAGAGGTCTACAGCCTGTCACTTGACCTACAGTTCTCACCCCCACAATCCTGTGAAGTAAATCTCTCTCTAAACACAAGTATGTCTATGTTGAAACGTTCACACGTCTCCCTGGTTCTGCTTCTAGACAACACTGACCAGGACACAGTACTAGGCTGATCTGCACTGACCCTCCGAGTCACACAGAGAAGACACACCGCCACGCACACCCCCACGGCCACGCACACCTGCTCCACCACACACGCCACCACACACACCCGCTCCACCACACACACACCCACAGCCACGCACACCCGCAGACTCAGCCCCCACCGCCACGCACACCCACACAGACACGGCCCACACCGCCATGCACACCTGCTCCACCACACACACCCCCACGGCCACGCACACCCGCAGACACAGCCCCCACCGCCATGCACACCCACCCAGACATGGTCCCCACCGCCACGCACACCCGCACAGACATGGTCCCCACCGCCATGCACACCCACCCAGACATGGTCCCCACCGCCACGCACACCCGCACAGACACGGCCCCCACCGCCAAGCACACTCGCAGACACAGCCCCCAGCGCACCAGCGCACGTGCCCCTGCAGCCATGCGTGCCCACACAGACATGGCCCACAGCCTACCATGCTTCTCGTCCTCTCCTGGGTCCGCTGCGGGAACCTGAGCAGCAGGAAGGAAAGAGAAGGTTCAGTGTGTGGCCTCACAGTCACAGAGCCACGCATCTCAAAAAGGAGCAACAAAACCACAAGGACGACAACAACAAGCCGACCATCAGAGGAAGGCCTGCCGACAACACTCTAAAGCCAGAGACGCACTGTGGACGTCTGCATGTCCTCAGGAAAGCACAGCCCTCCGGGAACCCACCGTTTCTATCTCCGACACGTCAGAGAGCTGAGGGACGGCTTCGACCACAAACTGCTCGTCCTCCTCGTCGCCAGAGCCGCGTGAGTCGGCGATCACATTTGAGACTGTCTTACCGCTGCCCAACCTAAACAGAGCAGACCACGTTAGACATCGCACGACAGGCGCAGTAGGTGGGAACCCACGGCATCGGAACTCGACCCCGGGGACAGAGAGGAAGCTAAGGGACCATCGCCTGAAGGGCAGTCCCCACAGTGCGAGGGGAAGCAGGGATGGACGTGTGGAAACAGTGCCCCGGGGCGCTCCTGCCTGGACACTGCCCTCCCTCCTGCCATCACTGCTCCCACACGAGGACTCAGCTCCGTTCCCTGGTCTCCCACATCCCCGGCCGCGCCTCTGGACCATTCCTGCCTCAGAAAGACACACACAAGGTGCACGGCCTCCACGCCCGACCTTCCCGCCACCACGGCTCCGCCCCTGCTGCTCTCAGCCACAAACTCCCAGAAGAACTGCCTGCCTTCGCTGCCCCTCCTTGAGCCCTTCTGACATGCTGTTGTTGTGTGCCATCGAGTCGGACCCGACTCCTAGCGACCCCTCCTTGGGTTTCCGAGGCAGTATCACTACGGAAGTAGATTGCCCATCTTCCTTCCAAGAGTGGCTGGTGGGTTTGAACCGCCAGCCTTCTGGTTAGCAGTCAAGTGCCTTAGGCACTACGCTACCAGAGCGCCCCTTCTGACGTGAGACCCATCCATCTCCCGTCCTCGTTTCTCCACGTCTTTTTGTGTTGATTTATTGTAATTAACTCTAAAATCACATGGGAACCCCAGCCACAGTTGTAAAAGTTACAGAATTCCTGTCTGCTGCTTAGTTTACACTATCATGACTTTCTGCAAACTGACTGTGAGAGCTGGGGCTGGGTGTCAACTTGGCTGGACCACAGTTCTGGGTGGTTTAAGCAGTTGTGATGTGGTCATTCCCATGACGGGATCAGATGTATATGTTTTGAGCAGCTAATCAACTAAAAGGGAGTTTCCCTGGGAGTGTGGCCTGCTTCCAGTATATTCATGGACATCCTGGGAAAAGAGAGATTCTTCTGTGGATCAAGATCCTGCGGTGCTGCCTACAACTGCCTGTGAGCGAACAATCCACCATTCGGCCTGGAGATCTTGGAGTCGTCATCTGTCGGGTCAACAGCCGGTGTCCTGCCTGCCAACCTTGAGCTCGTCAGCCCCTGCAGCTACGTGAGTCGGGAAAAGCCTCTAGCTTGACGTCTGATCCAAAAACTTGGGACTTGCCCGCCTCTGTACGTGTGTGAGCCATTTTCCTGAGGTAAATCTCTCTCCGTCTCTCTTTCTCTGCATGTACATAAGCTTTACTGGTCTTGCTTCTCTGGAGAACCCAGCCTAACACACTGACAGAAACCCTGTCTGCTGCTTGGCTTCCATTGTTCATGATTTTTCTGCAAACTTCGGTTTCACTTTTTTGTGCAATTAGGCTTTTAACTCCTTCTCTCCCTATTTTTTCTCAGTTTTTATAATTAGAATGTTCTCTGTCTAGAAGTCAGAGAAGTACACTCCCGCACTATGGCCACATTTCAAAGGCTTCATCGTGTGTGCGCACAGGCTCTCTCTCACGTGCACTGTGTCTTGTGTGTACTCAGAGGGCAGGGGCTGACCTGAGCTTTACTTCCTCAGCAACCAGGCTTCCTGATACTGTTGATTGCACTCTCTGCTCTCACATATCGGCATCCCCTGATCCCACGTGTGCTCACACACATGCTTGTACATGAGACATCTGTGGAACTGCCTTTCAAATGTACTTCAGTGTACAATTTGGGGGCATTCGTGCTGCTTATCAGCATGCTCCTCCCTGGGGGGTGCACACGGTTTATCAGCGTGTTCCTCCCTGGGGGAGTGCACATGGTTAAGCGCTGGGTGACTCGCCCAAAGCTCGGCCGTTCAAACCCACCCCAAGGTGCCTTGGAAGACGAGACCGCACTCTGTCTACAAGGTCACTGCCATGGAAGCCTGCTGGAGCAGTGCTACTCTGCACACATGGGGAGGCCAGGAGGCGCACCGCCCACACAGCAGCCAATAACAAGCCTTGTTTGACCGTCACCGTCCCCCATTCCCAAATCTTCCCATCACCCTATGGCATGATTCTATTAGCCCTGTCGGCACACATACAGGGAGCCCAGGAATGCTGCTCGTCACCCCCAAGAGAGAGAGCTCCCGCGGCTGTCAACTTCCCTAACGCCCCACGGGCAGGAAGCTCTCTGTCCAGTCGGTCTCACCTGTCCACACTTGATGCTTCTGCGTTTTCCTGCCGTTTGACACGGGGAGGAGCTGGTCTCGCACTTCCAGGCCGAGGGATTCTTCTAAACGCAAGCAATTGAAAACCAGAGAAGTGGCACATTTCAGAACGGACCAAAGAAAGCCCAGCGAATGTTAACACTAATTTTCAGACTATCGTCAACACGCTAAGGTGGACACAGTTTGCAGGATATTAAGAACATTCCATCAGACGGACAAGTTAAAAAGTATCCTTGATCCCAGTAATTTCAAGGTTAAAAAAAAAAAAAAACACCAAACTCACTGCCATCGAGTAGATTCTGACCCACAGCAGCCCCCTTTGGGTTTCCAAGGCAGTAAATCTTTATGAAAGTAGATTGCAGTCTTCCATCCAAGGAGTAGCTGGTGGGTTTGAACCACTAGCCTTCTGGTTAGCAGCCAAATGCCTTAGGCACTACATCACCAGAGCTCCTTAATTTCAAGGTATACAAAGTAAAATCTGATATAACTATTGGTAATAAAAACATAGTAATTAAGCCATAATTTCGGATGTCCCCACACCTCTAGAATGCTCAGTTTACAGCTCGTTAAATTTCAAGTACAAGGACATTTTATGAACCAGATTTTCTCTCATTGTACAAATATTCCCTCCTGAGTAAGCCAGAGCATGCCACACAGAAAAGCGACAGAAAGAGCATTACAGCTGAGTCCCAGGTGTGGACAGTCTCCAAGGACACGGTGCTGAAGCCACACACCTGGGACCGGACGGAAGCTCCTGGGCCACTTCCGGATTCTCGGCGAGCTCAGACATTTCTTGGCCAGCAGGTCCAGGTTCTTTCTCTAAAAACACAACGTTCAGTCAGCAATTCACAACGGGAGCAGAGCACATCACCGGTAACACATGGAAAGACGGCAGCCCACTAACGCCAAGTCCAAGGGCGCTACTTTTCCATCTGTCATTGTGCTAAGACCAAGAGACTGTGGCGATCTGGATTTGGGGGAGATTTTGAGAAAGGCGCACACTGGACCCTGGGAAACTGGTTCAACTTTTCAGGAAATCTCTGAGGTTACGTTAGTCAACTCAGCAACTCAGCCTGAGAGAAATGAGGCCTGCGAGGGAACTGGATGTGCATGTAAACGTGTACGTGCCAAGATGCCCATGTCAGCACCCAATAGTGGCCACCAGCGGGGCTGTTAAGGAGATTGCAGTACAGCCAGGTGCTAGACTTTCTATCTCCTTGGCCATGCGGTATCGGAACGTATCTGACAACTAGGTGCCCACGGAAGTCAGCACAGTGACGGCACGGGGTCATCAGCACCTTCACTGAATCCTGCGTGTTCTGAATTTTAAAGTGTTTACTTTGGGCATAGACCTTATTACTTTTAATGATAATCTGAACAAAGTTTTCTTCATTTTCATAAAAGGCCCAAACCATTCCAATCACGTTTATGCCATTATTTAAAGTAAAAGAGCCTCATACTGCACCATATAATAAACATAAATCAGCACTTTAACATTAAAAACACAACTAGCACTCGGGGAAAACCCTGAAATGTTTTCCTTTTTATTATTATTAATTTTTGCATGGAAGTTTACAGAGCAAATTTACTTTCCATACAGCAGCTCACATACACTTTGTCTCATGACACTGACTACAATTTCCCACAATGCAACAGCTCCCCTCCCACTTCCTCCCCGTAGTCACCTCTTCCCTGTGTCCTTCCCTCCGTGCACTCCTGCCCCCCGAGCTGTCTCCCGGTGCATACATAGCCCTACTATTCTCCCACAATTGTTCTCTCCAAGGAGTGTATCTACCTAATGTAAATGTTGAGCTCTTACGCCCGTCTTGTGTTTGGCTGGAAGCCACAGGAGTGGGTTCAATTCCAGACCTGAAGGGCAGCTAGGGGCCACAGCAAAATGTATTCTTTTGAAATAACTCATGTACATTAAACCTTACACTGTTATGGTCAGGATACGCACTCTGATGACACGAAGTATCACCCTGAGCTCACGCGTGGTATCTGTCACCCATTCAGTCAGCACCAAGCCCACCAGCTCAAGGCTCTTACCTGCATCACTGGTGGGGTCCCCTGAAAGAGAGAACAGGAATTCAGCCTTTGCGCCAGGCAGGCCCCAAACACCCCAGAGCCTGACAGACCCAGAGGGGAACGGCCGGCAGCGGTGGCAGGTGTCTCTGAGCAAACACCACCAGCTCCTCACGGCCTCGGCCCCAGGGCCCTCCAGCCTCTGCTTTACTCTCAAAGACAGAAAGACGCAGAGGAAACATACAAATGGACTCGGAACGTCACTGCATGGAGACAGGAAACGGGTGAGGGAGAGTGATCCCAAAGAATATTAGACTCGTGGTGTAGACAAAAGTTGACAAAACCAGGAAGCCTAAAGAAGACTGAGTCCTGAACACAGAGGTGACAGTTCTAAGCCAGGCAAAACCAAGTAACTGCACTGTCACAGCTGAGCCATGCCGGCAAAACCAAGTGACTTATGGCCAAGTCATGCCAAAGGCTCTGGATGGCGCCACTCCACCTAACCGCAGAGGTCAGCTCCATCAGCCTGCCCCACAAGCGGGAACTGCATTGCACGCCCAACCGGCCAGCTCTGCCCCTCCCCCAGGACCCTTCTTCTCCAAGCTGCTTCTGGGGACAAGTGTGACTTGTGTTATGAGTCAGATTGACTCGACAGCAGGTTTGGGTGGTGCTTGGTGACTTCTACTAAGACTCTCAGCCCCCTTGAGGTCACAAGTGAGTAAGAGCCAGCATTGCAGACGTCACTCACAACTGCTGACGGACAACATTCTCATACCCTCTGAAAATACACACACGTGAGCATAAGGGCCCGACTACACGTGCCCACGGGACCACCCGGGGGTCAATCCACACAGTCCTACACGGGCCCGGGGGTCAATCCACACGGTCCCACACGTGCCCAGGGAGCACCCAGGGGTCAATCCACACAGACCCACACGTGCCCAGGGGAGCACCTGGGGGTCAATCCACACAGTCCTGCACGTGCCCACGGGCCCAGCGGGGGTCAATCCACACAGACCCACACGTGCCCAGGGGACCACCTGGGGGTCAATCCACACAGTCCTGCACGTGCCCAGGGGAGCATCCGGCGTCCAACCTGTACCTGCCCACATCCATGTGAGCTCCCGGTGCCCAACCTGCACCTATCCATGTGAGCGCCCAGCACCTGACCTATGCCTGCCCACATGAGCACCTGGCATCCAGTCTACATGATCCCACGCACGCCCATGTGAGTGTTGGCACACTGAGTCTCTCCAGCGAGCAGGGAGGGGTGCAGGCACCACTGGGACGAGCCACCTGCTTGGTTATGACCACCTCCACCTGGACGGCTGACACGTACGCCCTGAGAACCGGCCCCAGGTGATCTGGCGTCATCACACATCATACAGACTGAAAAGCACTTCTCAGACCCCCTATGCTACCCTCATGCGTGTGCCCCAGCGGGCCGCTCCGGGGTGGTCAAGCTGCAGGGAGGTGGGAACCAGGAGACACGGCACAGCACTGTCGTAGGAGACAAGGGAGAGACCCGAGATCACGAAGTGCAGCCCTGGTGGGGCCCGAGGACCAGGCCCGGTAGTCAGCAGGGGCTTGGAGAACACAGGTTTCTGACGAGCCCTGACACGACGGTGTGAACACGGGCAGTGCTGGGCTGCGGGCCGAGAGGTGGGGACAAGGCTTTGGGGAACGGGCGTCAGGGGCTGGGGACAGGGACGGTGAGCCCCGGGGTCGGTGGCAGCAGGCATTCCCCCATGCTGCACGGTAGGCGAGGCTGCCCTGCCGAGGCTGACACACAGCTGTCCAGCGTGGCTAAGACACAGACTCGGACCCATGGCTCCAAATCCCCGCTCTTTCTACAAAACTCCTGCCATCGGGGTGTTCGGGGACGACTGTGGGTTCACGTGAAGCTCAGAAAGACGACTGAGAGGTGGAATGACAGGTTCTCAGACCAAGTCAGACAGTTAGGGAACCTGAAGACCTACCCCCTTCCATGGACAGGGTCCCTGACCCAACGGACACATCCTGTTCTCCGCCTCATGACGCCGCCACGGCCAACACCCTCCTTGCTGAAAAGCCCGCCCCTGACTTCCATGACGTCCGCTCTCCCGTTTCTGTCTGGCCCCACTCCAGCTCAGTCAAAAACCCAACAGAGCCACTGGCCAGGGCCGGGCCAGGCCTCCCCACTGGACGGGCACCACAGTGGACTCAGGGTGGGGCCTACAGCTCCAGGCCTCCCCCACACTCCCGCCTTCCTCGGAGGCCCCGCGCACCGGCAGGCCGTGGGAAGAAGCCACCCGCCTACCTTTGGGCTTTGGGGCTGGTTCTGGCTCAGCATTCTCCCGCCACAGGCCAGACGAGTGACCATCTGCAGCTCCGTTGGACTCTGCTTCTCCTGAGCCTGACATGAAATAGGGCAGAGAGGGTCGCTAAGACCGCGCACGCAACGCCGGGCTAGCCGCCGCACCAGCACATGGCCCACACACTCCCTATGTCCGCCCAGCACTGACCGAAGGCAGCTTCTGAGGGCATACAGCAGGACTCACCCTGCCACGGCAAAGGGGCCCCCGGCCGAAGCAACCCCAGTCCATCAGCCCAGGTGAGGGCTTGCGGCTATGCAGACCATCCCCTCCACTTCCCATTTCTGGAACCACCCTGACACCTCATCTCACCAGCCCCCACAAAGGCCAAGCCCAGGAGATGAGAAGCTCCATATAGGTAGCCATTTTAGGAAAGCAAAAAAGTATGCCGGTTTTGACCCAGTGAACTATTCCAGAAGGCACCCAGGTGGCACACCATGGTTAAGCGCTTGCCTGCTAACCGCAAGGTCACTGGCTTGAATTCACCAGTGGCTCTGCAAGAGAACATGTGGCAGTCGCTTGCGTAAAGATGGACAACCTAGGAGACCCTCTGGTGCAGTTCCACTCTGTCCTCTAGGGGCGCTGTGACTCAGAATCGACTCAATGGCAGTGATTCTCTGATACTTGGCTAATGATTACTGACTGATAGGCCAATGTTTATGAAAAAAAAAATCAAATACTTCAAAAAATAATTTTTTTTTCACTAGTACTTATTTCTGTTGTTGTTATGACATGGGTGAAAGTTTACAGAGCAGATTCATTTTCCATTCAACAGCTCATACACATTTTGTTTCATGGTATTGATTGCAATCCTCACAATGTAACAACAGCTCTCTGCCCACTTCCTCCCTGTGGCTATCTTTTCCCTATGTCCTTTTTTCTGATGCATTCCTGTCCTCTGATCTCTCTCCCTGTGCAAACACTGCCCTTCTGATCTACCATGGTTGACTGTTCTAAGGAGTGCACCTGTTCACCTTATAGTCCTGTCTACTATTTGGCTGGAAGCCATGGGAGTGAGTTCAATTCCAGGCCCAAAGGGTGACCAGGGACCATAGTCTCAAAGGCTTTTTTATGATTTTGAGTTTTGTTCCACATTGTTCTTCCACTCTATCTAGGATCTCCTACACTGATCCCTTCCCGAGTGGTTGACAGGGGCAGCCGGACACCATCTAGTTCTTCCAGTCTCACAGTCATGTCGGCTGAGGATCACATGGTACACTGGTCCCCTGGACTAACTGCTTCCATATGTCTTTGGATTTCATCATTCTTCTTTGCTCCAGATGAGGAGAGACCAATTGTGGCATCAAAATATTTTCTCCTTTTTAAAAGCAAAAAGTGGCGGGGGCAGCGGGGGTTGTCAGGGACAGGCGGAGTGCTGCTAGAGGAACCAGTCTGAACCTGGCAGGACCCAGAGCTCGCGAACGACTGCATTCACTGAGGCACCTCTTGCTCTCTGAGAAAAAACCCAGAGACAAACATAAAACTGGAAAGATGTGCCCTTCCCTGAAACACCTTTCACAGATCCCGACAAACATTCAAAGACATCGCACCTGTCAGAATCAATCTGTCCTTAACTGTCAAAGGACTACTCTAGTCCTGAAAAAAAAAAAAATAAAAAACCTACTGCCATCAAGTCGATTCTGTCTCAGCGACCCCCTTTGGGTTTCCGAGATGGTATCACTGTGGAAGTAGATCGCCCAACCTGCCTTCCGAGGCGTGGCTGGTGGGTTTGAACCGCCAGCCTTCTGGGCAGCACTCACAGGCTTTAGGCACTGGGCCACCAGAGCTCCTGTATAACTGTGTGAGCCATTTTCCTAAGGTACATTTCTCTATATATACACAAGCTTCACAGGTTTCACCTCTCTAGAGAACCCAGCCTAACACATTTGGTTAAAAACAGCACACATACTGCCTTGACACTACCTGGGGGACCGGGACAGAGCGAGGAGTCACCTGTAGGGATCCAGGGGAGGGGAAAGAACCCAGGCCACGTCCCACAAGTGGCAAGGTGGAAAAGCGGAGGAAAGGAGAGAAAAAGGCCAGGGGGCGGGGACAGAGCGAGGAGTCAGCCGCAGGGATCCAGGTAAGGGAGGTGGAGGGGCTTCCAACAGCTGAGGGAAACAAACTTGTGCAGTGTAGTAAATTACTTTGTATGACTTTTCTACCCATAAGTCATTGTAAACTCAGTGGTAGAATGAGCAACTGAGGAGCTCCTGATTGCTGAAGGTGTCCACCTGGAGTATTTCTGTTGGGAGTGGCACAAAACAATGTTCTGGGAGGTTCCCACTCTCTCTCACGTGCTTAGAGTTCTGATGCTGTGATTGGCTAGTTTGACCACCCTTCCAGGCTCAAAAGGAGGCCTCCTGGAGGCAGAACTTTCTCTGACTGCTGGTTGAGGAAGACCTGCTGCTGAAAGAGACACGTGCTGCTGGGAAAGAGACGCAAGAGACGTGCATTGCTGAGTGAGACACCGAGGGACCAGCACTGCTGGGAAAGAGACTGTGAGAGACTGTTGGCTGAGGGATGGTGGGCTGGGGAGAAAGACTGAGCATTTTTTCTGAACGCAAATTGTAGTCTGGTGCTTCCCTAATAAACTCCATAATCTGTGAGTTCTGTGTGGCTACTGCAGCAAATTATCGAACCCAGGAGAGAGGTGGTGGGTGCTCTGGGAGGAATGGCTGGAGAAACAGC